ACAAAAGTTACTGTAGTGGTCTCCAACTGTGCACGTACCAGGAGCAGGCGGCCCGCTACCACCTCCTCAGTCTCTACACTCACTGGAAGACACCTCCTGGAGAACAACACTGCTACTCCTGCACTGGAGGCGGAGCCATGGCTGAGAACCAGCTGGCCCCCCCACTCCCTCCTCCAGTCTGACTCTATCTCTGCAGTACTGTGTGTCTCCTGTAGGAGCACCACATCTACTCCTTTCATCTGCAAGAACTGGAACAGAGCAGCTCGCTTCGCTCTGTCCCGGCAACCATTAATATTTAAACTGCCTATTTTAAAGTGACACATAAGGAAAAAAATTGAAAAAACACTAACAAAGTGGGATACTGAGATCAGTTAGGACCCTCACTGGCCACTTGGGCCCTGACTTTGCTCAGGAGTTTCTTGAGCCTGAATCTCTCCTGGTCTGTGAGAGCGTCCTCGTCCTGAGAGCTGGAGCTCCACACCAGGGGCCGGGCCGTCTCAGAGAAAAGCTTCAGGTTAGGAAAGTAGTTTTCTACCTTTACACTCCTCATCCCTTTAGTGTCTCTCAAAAACGTTCTTATGTCTGCAGCTGAACATGACTTAACCCTCTAGGCGCCACGGTCGACTTAAGTCGACAAGCTGCAGTACTGTTACAAACGGCCGAGTGTGACCAACTGAGTGTCAAAATTCATTTATACTCCCTGCCACTAGTTGGCAGACATGTCAGACTACCTCCCTGGCCCCAAAAAACCTCATGCTCCTATACAAAATATTCGAGCAAGACCGCGTTGAACCAGTGCGGAAATCATAGCGAAGCGAATGCAGCTGCGGGGCAGCCTGCGAGTGTTGTACCGCACCAAACACTAACTTTAGACACTTTGCACAGGGTCTGCAGTGGGAACAGTGTTTCTTAGAGTAAGGCAAAGTCATTGGGAGGTTCGGAGACAGGTTAGATTTGCGGAAAACAAGCCTGGAACTCGGGTCGGGGCGCCGCGCCGCGACCTCCAGCCTCCGCTGAAGTTTCCGCCAAAGTCTCCGCTAAAAGTGCTTCCCACATATTTATTTTCAAGCCTCACCTAATCACCGGGACAGTAATGTGTTGTAGAAGCCTTGTCTTGTGTGTGTCAGACGAGAGAGAGGGCAGGGAAGATGAGAGAGAGAGTGGGGGAGACAGCTGCAGCAGCAGGGTCGCGGTGACGCGCATCACGTGGAGACGCGCGTCTGGGCAGACTGCTCACAGCAGCACCATGATTTATATTTTTTTTACTATTTTCATCAACATTTACAATGTTACAGTGTGTGCTCATGTTCTAGTGATAAATATATGTCTGTCAGTTAGAAAAATACAAATATTGTATGAAAAATCTAAAATCCACTATTTCTAACGCCAAATGACGTCATAATATGCAAATTAGATGGGGGATTTATTCCCCAAAATAAACTTTGGACCATCCTTTATATTTTTCTAATTTACAAAAAGCCTTTATCTCTTATCACTTTTAAGTTACAGCCTTTTGAAATTAAGATGTCAAAATTGAGCGTTTTGGAAAAAAACCTCTGGCGCTTAAAGGGTTAACACCTTCACTCAAACTGCTTGTGACTTTAAACGGTTTCTCAGTGCTCTGAGAACTGCCTCCCTTTCTCTTCTGAGGATAGAGACACTGCTCCCCATCTGACATCTCCTCATCTAAAAACTCAGAGTCACTGTCTCCCACACTGCTCAGCTCCTGGCTCATGTCACACACCTGCTCCTCGGGGGGAGGAGGAGTGCTGTCAGGGTCATTGACAGCAGTGGGGGCCTCCACCGCGGGCCCAGCAGCGGGCTCCACCGCGGGCCCCACCGCGGGCTCCGCAGACCCGAACCCGCTGTCTGGGTCGTCGGGGGGGTCCCCAGCAGCGCCGTCCGCGGGGGGAGGTGTTGGGGCCGGGGGCGCGTCCCCCGATGGCTCCGCTGCCTCCGCGCTGGTCTCATCGGAGGCTGCAGAGGTGCTCGGTGTCTGTGCGTCATTACGCGGCACATTCTGATCCATTCGTTCTGGGCACGCTCTGATCAGGTGACCCTCTGATCAGGTGACCCTCTGATCAGGTGACCCTCTGATCAGGTGACCCTCTGCGCCGCAGCCAAAACATTTCATGTTCTCAGATGAAGCAAAAATCACATAACTGAATCCATCAACTTTAAAAGTAAAGGACAGGTTTAATTCGGAGTTATCCTTCAGCACCATGAGCACCTGTCTGCGATGGTCCTTCAGCACCATGAGCACCTGTCTGCGATGGTCCTTCAGCACCATGAGCACCTGTCTGCGATGGTCCTTCAGCACCATGAGCACCTGTCTGCGATGGTCCTTCAGCACCATGAGCACCTGTCTGCGATGGTCCTTCAGCACCATGAGCACCTGTCTGCGATGGTCCTTCAGCACCATGAGCACCTGTCTGCGATGGTCCTTCAGCACCATGAGCACCTGTCTGCGGTGGTCCTTCAGCACCATGAGCACCTGTCTGCGATGGTCCTTCAGCACCATGAGCACCTGTCTGCGATGGTCCTTCAGCACCATGAGCACCTGTCTGCGATGGTCCTTCAGCACCATGAGCACCTGTCTGCGATGGTCCTTCAGCACCATGAGCACCTGTCTGCGGTGGCACACTACGTGTCTGAGCAGCGGTGACTTACAGCCCAGTGACATCATTTTAATCGGTGTCACCAGCTCCGAACCGGGACAGTTCTGCAGCTAGAGTCTCGTTCTTGATAAACGGAGGAGCGTTGGAGACGATGACCCGCCTGGCAGGACTCACCAGCGGCAGCACAGAGGTGAACAGGCCCTGGATGGTGGCTCCCTTCTCCACGGCCTCCGCCACCTTCTCAGTGCTGGACAGAAAGATCACGCTCCGTTCATTCGTGAAGCAGACTTGATGTGGACGTATCCCACTTCTTTCCCCACAGAGAGTATCGCCTCCTCCACAGAGAGTATCGCCTCCTCCACAGAGAGTATCGCCTCCTCCACAGCGAGTATCGCCTCCTCCACAGAGAGTATCGCCTCCTCCACAGAGAGTATCGCCTCCTCCACAGAGAGTATCGCCTCCTCCACAGAGAGTATCGCCTCCTCCACAGAGAGTATCGCCTCCTCCACAGCGAGTATCGCCTCCTCCACAGAGAGTATCGCCTCCTCCACAGAGAGTATCGCCTCCTCCACAGAGAGTATCGCCTCCTCCACAGAGAGTATCGCCTCCTCCACAGAGAGTATCGCCTCCTCCACAGAGAGTATCGCCTCCTCCACAGAGAGTATCGCCTCCTCCACAGAGAGTATCGCCTCCTCCACAGAGAGTATCGCCTCCTCCACAGCGAGTATCGCCTCCTCCACAGAGAGTATCGCCTCCTCCACAGAGCAGGACGCTGCAGTCACAAGCTTCACAGCGTGACGCCGCGTCAGCTGCTCCAAACCTCTGTCCCCGGCCATCCCGGGCGTTACGCCTCGCCCGGAGGCCGGTACACGGGCAACAAACACTCCCAAACACAAGCGCACGGTAATCCAGAGAAACACTTTGGCAAAAACCACAAAAATACTCAAAAAACTCCACTCGAAACCACGCGCTCTCAGTCAAACCAACCGGAAACGGAAGAGAGGAGAGAGAGAGAGAGAGGAGAGGAGAGAGAGGGGAGAGAGAGGAGAGAGGAGAGAGAGAGAGGAGAGAGAGGAGAGAGAGGAAGAGGAGAGAGAGGAGAGAGAGGAGAGGAGAGAGAGAGAGGAGAGAGAGAGGGGAGAGAGAGGAGAGAAGAGAGAGAGAGGAGAGAGAGGAGAGGAGAGAGAGAGGAGAGAGAGGAGAGAGAGTAGAGAGAGAGAGAGGAGAGGAGAGAGGAGGGAGAGGAGAGAGAGAGAGGAGAGAGAGGAGAGAGAGGAGAGAGAGGAGAGAGAGGAGAGAGAGGAGAGAGAGGAGAGGAGAGAGAGGAGAGAGAGGAGAGGAGAGAGAGAGGAGAGAGAGAGGAGAGAGGAGAGGAGAGGAGAGAGAGGAGAGGAGAGAGAGGAGAGGAGAGAGAGACGAGAGAGAGGAGAGGAGAGAGAGGAGAGAAGAGAGAGAGAGGAGAGAGGAGAGAAGAGAGAGAGAGGAGAGAGAGGAGAGAGGAGAGAGAGGAGAGATGAGAGAGAGAGGAGAGAGAGAGAGAGAGGAGAGAGGAGAGAGAGGAGAGAGAGAGGAGAGAGAGGAGAGAGGAGAGAGAGGGGAGAGAGGAGAGAGAGGGGAGAGAGAGGAGAGAGGAGAGGAGAGAGAGAGAGGAGAGAGAGGAGAGAGGAGAGAGCTGAACAAATGCTCGTAGAAACCAGCGGCAAAGCGCCTGACCTCGGCAGAGTCTGTGATGAGGCGACCGCTGTCCGAGCGCAGAGACTGGATGATCCTCTTTTGGCGGTTCTTTTTCTCCAGACTGAAAAAGAACTGAGAGGGTACATCCATCTGGGTCAGATCCATGTGGCGGGACCGGACCAGAGCCCCCTGTGCAGAGGAGCCCAGCAGGCTGGCCAAGGCCGACTTTTGTGCTTTGAGGGACTGTAAACACCCCTGTTCTCCTGTAGAAACTGCTAAACGCTGCAGTTCTACCACTGTAGTCTCCAGCTCCTTCACAAGCCGGGCCCTGTCTCTTGTGACACCATGAGTGTACTCCTGACACAGCTGCCTTATCTGCACTTTCCCATAGTCCCACCATCGCTGCAGGCTCACAAAGTGGGCCTTACACCGCTGGTGGGACTCCCAAAACACTTTAAAGTGGTTCTCACCCCCGCTCCTCGGAGCTTACGTTACTCACATTTCCTGTTCAAATCTTCCTCTAAATGGGCGTAGCCTGGAGGACTGAAGGGGGCGTGAACGAGACTGGGCCGTTTACATTGCTCTGGGCGGGGGGCTGCTGACGTCAGGTCCAACTTGCAGACGTCAGGTCCAACTTCTGTGCCAGTGTTGGCGCCAGATTCAAAATTCAAATGTAGTAATACAGGTCGCCAGCAGATGGCGCCTCACAGACGGTTTTAGGCAGAAAGTTTAACTTTCAACTAATTTGCACCGAAGTGACAAGATTATGACCAGGATATGTAGACAACACTATTGGACACTCATTTATACCGTTTATCAGCAAAAAAAAGTGGATTTGAGGGTGAGTTGTCCTTTAAAAGCACAAACAAACATTTTATCATAAAACAGTGCCAACGGTCTCCACAGCAGCTCCTCTGACCCAGCTGACAGTCTCTGTAGAAACTGCAGCCTAAAGGCAGCTCCTCGGACCAGACCTTTGCCAGAGAGAGGAGAGGAGGAGAGAGAGAAGGGAGGAGAGAGAGAAGGGAGGCGAGAGAGGAGAGAGGGGGGAGAGAGGGGAGAGAGGAGAGAGGAGAGAGAGAGGAGAGAGAGGAGAGAGAGGAGAGGGAGAAGAGGAGAGAGAGAGGAGAGAGAGAGGAGAGGAGGAGAGAGAGAAGGGAGGCGAGAGAGGAGAGAGAGGGGAGAGGAGGAGAGAGGAGAGGAGGAGAGAGAGAAGGGAGGCGAGAGAGGAGAGAGAGGAACTCAGACTCACTACAGAACTTTAAATTACTTTTCAAAACCAACCTGTTCAAAACTGCCCACACACAGCAAAAATTGGAGTGTTAAATTGACTCTCACAGAGTCAATTTTAACTTTTCTCCAGAGTTTGAGTCCACCTCATTTGAGAGTTAACTTAACATTCCTCAATTAGTTAATTCAGTAACACTAGACTAGAGTTTGTTTTTAACACTGAAATCAAGGGTTATATTAACACATTGAGAGTTACCTTAACACTATGTCAGGTCATCACACAACACCAAGGTGGTGTTTTATTTTTACTATTTCTAATGTTAAGGTAACATTTTTTGAGTAGCTGCTATACACTACAAAAGGTTGAATAAATTAGGAAAATATGTATATTCAAATAAATCTTTTTAATTATTCATTAAAACAGTGTAAAAGGCGAAATTATGTACAAACTTCCATCTGAAACATTGCAGGAATTTTGAATATCAAACGGCTTCGGATATTTAAGATCCGAATGGGTGACAAGACATCTTTCATCACATCTAGAGACTCTGAAGGCATGATAATGAGCATCAAAAGCCTCTACAAACATCTTTGAGGTCAGAGAAAAAATAGAGTTCTCAACCAGTAGTACTTCTAGAATTAGAGAGAACACAGGAATAGATTGTTCCATCGCAATCCATATCACAAGACCTGCTCTATATTCAATACCATCTACTTTAACCCAGCTGGATGAGAACACTTCTTTTGCCATTACAAGCATCTGATTGTTGAGCACGTCATTCATCTCAACATGGTCAAATAATTTAATTGGTCCATATTCATTCCTTTTAATTGAAAATGTCTCCCAGTGATATGCAATAGCCATTTGATGTTTTTTTGCAAGGGATTTAGTCACGTTTTTGAAATTTTTTAAAAAATCTTTAAGAACTTTGTGTTTGGCTTCGAACCTCATTGACCACATATACAACAGAGGACCTATTTTTCTGATTGCAGAAGGATAATGAATCATAAAATGATGTTTTGGTAACACATTTTTACATGGATACAAGACCTTAAACAGTTTGTGATGCTCAGCAATCATATGTTTTAAATAAACAGTCATTCCCAAAGTAACTGAAGGTGAAAAAACAATGTCCATTATTTGCAACAGCAATAACAACAAATACCAATGCTCATTTCCAGAAGGAATGAGATCACCAAATAACAGTGGGATGTTTTTCACCAAACACAAAGTTTGGATGGAGTTGAGACCAATCCCATTGCCAGTACCATCTAAAATCACCTTTGTGGGTCGATTTTTGCGTTCTAAAAATCCATAATCAAAGCTATAAATTCTAGAAAGCAGGACTTTTTCTGAAATAAAATGTTTTGTTATATAGCCAAATAGTAATTTCATCTCATACTGTGTGACACCCTCAAGAAGATCGTGCATTATGTCAAATGAATAATTATCACAGACATGAAAATGAGCAAGGGAATTGAGAGTAGAGATTCTTTTCAGCCCAAAGACTGATTTGATTTGTGGGTTCTCTTTGAGAGATTGGCAATGAGTTTCAAATAGTTCTTTTATGCGAAAAACCACCTTGGGATCATCCTCACTGTACACATTTTGTATGTCACTCTTCTCTATCAAGCAACGACGACAGGAGTGACGGCTACTGAAAGACTCATTGAAACCAAGAATTGTGTGCATCCCCAGATTATCACCTGTGATCTGTGCTATTGTGCCAAACACGCGCTCTTCAAAGAAAGGGAGGTCTATTCCTTGACTCTCAAGTTTCTTAACATCATTGATCAGTGGTTTCAGAATAGCATCAAATCCATATTTATGCTGATCTTGAGAATGAAAAAGGGATACTAAGTGAATGTTCATTAAGACAGAGTTAAATTTGGGGGGCAAGTTTCTTAAGATAAAATATAGACAACCAATTTTGTGAATCCCACGTTTAGACCCAAGAGGGTTAGCTGGTTAGTCATCGTAGTACAGCTGGATCTGAAGTGCATGCTTCTTTGTGCTGAAAAGAGGGTGGTTTTTTAAATAACTCCCATCGTTTAAGTCTTTTAACAAGTCCGGATCTGAGGTACAGTCTCTTTTCAGTAAATCACAAATTTCGGAATTTCTGCACATGAATTTTAAACTATCCAAAATTGGCACATATATAAATGTATCCCTTACAGCACATGTGTCAAAGTCAAGGCCCGAATGAATTTTACATGTTGCCCGTTGCCTGCCATTGACGCACTATTACGTCAATTTTCCGCTTTTTTTTCCGCTATTTTCATGTTCCCAGATGTCTATTATATCTAATATGTTTGGGGATAAGCTTGAGAGCATATTGAATCGAGCCAGCAGGTGGCAGCAGCGCTCTCTGAATGGTTTGAAAACAGCTAGATGCCTCTTTTTATTCAGCTTTTTGGTGATTTCAGTAAAACTTCCCTCTACTCAACTGGGGATTACAAGCTAGAAACAACATTATTTTTGCTGATGAAAGTAGACAGTCTATTCTTTCAGAATCTGGTTTTGGATTTCAGATAGTCATAGTACACAATATTCTGTGGGTCTTGAAAAATCTATAAAAATCATCAGAAACTGCTGGCAATATGGGAGTACCTGTTCTGAAATAGGCTGGCAGGCAATGAGTTAATAAACATTGAACCAGTCCGACCCTCGGCTCGCAGCAAATTTGTTTTTTTGGCCCTCTGATATATTTGACTTTGACATGCCTGCCTTACAGGAACCTGTTCAAAAGACCCTGAAGCTGAATTGTGCCTGTTGTCATAACGGATTCCAAGAAAACATTCTACAGGCTCAACTACTCCCCTTTTTTCAGTAAAGTATTTGTTTCTCTTCCACTCTGTGTTTAAGTTTACAAATGGGTTTTCCATATTTTTAAAAGATTGATCAATTAATGATATGTTTTGATCACTTGAAGGCAAAATGTCTAAAACTGTTTGCTTTGCTTGCGAACGCAACTCACTGGTTAATTCCTCCAAATCTCCCACAACTGATGACAACAAACTATTAGGTATCCCACTCCCCTGTAATTTGGCGACAATGGATGCACACATTTCTCTTGTTAAGTCTTTATCACCATGACGAACACTCTCAATGGATAAACTAGAGGTGCTAGACTGATCAGATGACATAAAATGGTCACTTGACTCATTTCTCTGAACAACAATTTCAACCGACTCAGCAGCAAAACAAGCAGCATTTGAAACACATTCTTGATCTATAAAATGAACACTGTTAATATGCTTCCTAAAACCTGAATATGTTAAAAAGTGATACCTACAACCTGCTTGAGCACAATACAGTTTAAACTTTTGTCCTGGATAGAAACAATGTTCTACTCTCAAATGCTTTATCAACTGTTCACAGTTGCCAAATGTGTGTTTACACACAAAACAAGACAACATCACTGCTCTTAGGCCCTGTCCACACAAAGTCAAGCTCAGGCCTAAACGCAAAAATACTTTATCAATCCAGTGTATCGTCCATACGAGGCCGGCGTTTTGGGGGGGTGTAAACGAACATTTTTGAAACTAGGTCCCAGAGTGGAAAGATTTGAAAACTCCGTATATGCCGCTCCGTGGTTACTGCCTCTCCGCAATGTATCTGAGACGCTTGCGTCATCGCCCCGCCTCTTGTTAAAGCACGCATGCGCCGCACTCAGAAAATAATGACAACAACAATGTAGCTTGTTGGTTTTGTAATCCAGTGCGACCCGAAGCAACAGTTCAACCTCATCGTCCGTCCATACTAATGTAGTACCAGCTCGCCCACTCGCCATGTTGTCTGTTTACAACATTCCGCGCATGCCCACGGAAGTTTGGGCTTGATCCCGTCATTACGTCACAGCGCCACCAACAGGTCTGGCATAGTTTCACAGCGTTTTCAGGCGTATTGACTACATTCATATGGACGCACACATTTACTGAGCTAACTCCGTGTTTACAGAAAAAGTTTCTGAAATTATAAGCGTTTTGTCTTCGTGTGGATATAGCCTTATTCACACACAGTTGCAGTGAGTGTTTGGTTAAGAAGTTTTGCTCGCAACTCTTTCACTCTAGGAGACTCCTTCATTTTCCCCACATCTATGTTGAACACTGTTGTCTGAATGAATGTGTAAAGATTCACTAAAGCAGAATCATAGGTCAAGTTGAACACAAAATGACATTTAAAAAGTTCATCAAATGCCCCAAGAGCACGGGTTGGCTGACATGGGATGAGATGAGAGTCCAATGTAATGTAGAAGTTGTCGATCTTCGCAGGTTGCTGCCCAACGGCCAGGATGTAAGGGTGCTCACGTTTGTTACAGCGAAGATGCTCCTCCAGACTGCAGCATGACTATAGTGGTAAAACGAAATAATAATTAACAAGGCGCATTAACAGACTCCAAGTGGCTAAGGACTGAATGAGACAGCGATGCGCTGCTTTCAGCATTTGGATTTAAAAACAAAAAGATGTTACTTGATCAAGATTTTATCAATTTATTTACATGCGAGTAAATTTCACCATCCAAGTAAATCAGTTTTTGTAAAACTTCTTATTTGTTTAATAAATGCACTGATGCACAAGACTGTGAGAACGGTGTATGAAGCACTCTACATATTTAGTGTAAAACGTCTATTACCTTGTGAAAGATGAGAAGTCTTTTAATCGCTTCTGAAGCACTGATTTTTGGGCTCCTTGGTCCTCCTGGAGGTGGCGGTAGAAGATGGAGAAGGAGTAACAGGGATGCCATTTCAGGATCATAAGCTATAAACAAAAATAAATCCAAAACATGTTAAGTATTTAATATTTTATTAAACTTGTGAATTAAACTGTAAAAGATAATGTATAAATGCCAATAAAGATCTTAATATTGGTACAAATGGTACCTGTTTCACTCCCCGGTAGACTTTCAGCTGACTCAATAAGAGACTGTAACTCTGGGGTCAACACTAGCTGTTTGGCCTCTCTGAGGACTCCCTGCTTGAAGTAGAGATCCCATTTCATGAGGAGCCGAGTGGATGTGTCTTCGTCAAATAAAAGCGTGAAGTCCTGATTCACCTGACACAAAGAATCTAATTGAAAAGTCGTAATAAGTCATAATAAGGAATCATTAAAAACATTAAAGATATCTTACCAATCCTTTGGTGTCAAGGTATCGAGAAAAGATGGTTAGGACATCAGTACTTTTTCCGGGTTCATTGATAAGTTGTTGCCGGTACAGAAATGTCTTCCGCATATTTTGAAATATTGACGCACTATCTGTTGTGTGTTGGAGCAAGGACAGAACCTCTTGGCAGTCATCACTGTCCAGTTGTTCATCAATTGTAACATTTCTTTGTACAGATGGGCCTCCTTGACCAACGTTGGAAGGGATGCATCGTGGCCGTTTTGTGCGCCGTTGCACAGTTTTCAGTCTCCAAGCTAAATACCCTGTCCCACTTGCAGGATCATAAAAATGCTCCTGAAAAGACAAAATTATACCTTTAAAAATTATCAATTTGAACATAGTACATAGAAATCTGGTAACAGGCAAAAATTGTTACGTAGCCTTTCTTTGTATATGGATCTTTGAGGGAGGGAAATGCCATAACAATTCCCAGGGCATACTTTTCCCGGGTGGCCTTAGAGGGAATGTTGCTGAAAAAAAAAAAAAAAATACACATTATACACCTTATAATTAATACACGTTCCAACTGTACAGTATTCTAAAATGTGATGTATAAAATGAGAGGACCACCCTCACACCTTTTTGTCTAAAAATGTGGAGGGGCCAGTTTTGAGAGGAACTATAGCTATCAGATTAATTGAATGGCATAGTTAAGTTTTTTTGGAGTTTGGATATTATGCTCGCCCAACTTTGAGTTAGAAAGTTACCCATGATGTTCCATCATGTGGGAGAGCAGAATGTTAACCATCTGTCGTCTTGTGGCATCCTTTAGGGTTTGTATTTCTTGGTATTGCTTTAGCACCTCATCACCACCAGACCTTTCCTTCAAAACTCCCTCGATTAACTGATGAGGAGAGAACCAGTTATAACACCAGGAGAAACAAGATCCTTAAAAAAGTAATTAATAAAAAATACCTCTTTGGCAGATGTCGCCTCTGTTGAACTAGCAATCTTGGTTGTTTTTTTGGTGGTCCTTCAACAATTATTGTAGAGGATGAACCGGAACTCCAGCTCACCTCAGACATGTCTGATGTTGATGAAAAGGAAGAATCTGAAAATTCTTTAAAAAAAAACACAGTAATGAAAGCAACAATTAGTCAGGGGTCCTCATGTGAGAACTTTGGTCAAGGTAGGAGACTGAGACACTTCGTATAAAATTTCAACACAAAAATGCAACAGTCTCCCCCTCATTTCCTCACACTGCACAAGGTATTTGTGTTCTAAAAAATGAGCCCAATTGTCCAAATCATTGTTCATCTATTACAAAATCTCACTCTATTGTTTTAAAAAGTGTTATTTGTAAGCCGTTGATTTACATTTTAAATTCCCCTCTTGACATTTCTTATAAAACCCATTAATAGCCAATGCAATTGCCTAGTCTCTCACCGTCATCACAGAAAACTGTAAGCATCATGTTCCTTTGGTGGAGAAGATCATTGAAAATGGCTTCATCAACTTGTGTCCCCGTTTCATCCTTGAACTGAATGTTTGCATCTGATGGCAAGCAGAATCTTTCAAGAACTGCAAAACAGCCAAAATCACAAAAACAAATAATGCATTAAATATTTGCATTACCAAAATGTATTAAACGCATAGAATGAATACTAAAACCGCGCACATCCTGCATCATAGTTACCGTATTTGAATTTATTTGGTGTTCTAGTGACATTGTAAAGCTATTTAGCATTCTAATTGTTATGAGAAAACCATAACTGAAGAAAACCCAATCAAGACATGACAATTTTGCACATGCATACAGATTCATCCTTGATTCCCTGTTGCAATAAGATATATTCCCCAAATTTTCAGACAGAACCAAACGCCATGGCAATATTACCGTATATATACACGGTGATGGAGCTCTTCGCGAAAATTCACTGTGGTAGACCCGGCCGCTGCCGCCAGATCTACAAGCCTGCTCATCCTCTACTCATTACACCAGCAAAACGCCCACATCTTATCCACCAATAACCACCAGGACAGCAAGTTAAAAGCCGGAGACGCCCACTTCCCGGCCTTCTGAAGTTTGCAAAGCCTCCGCCGCCCCACCTCCTCCTTCTCTCTTCAGAGCGTGCTCGCCTGCTGCCTCTGCCGTCACCAGTGCCTAGGCCCCGGGGGGGATTATGCGCGCGAGCAAGCGCCGCGCTCAACAGCATCTCTCCCGGGCCTAGGGCGCCAAACATACTCAATCAACAAACTTCTAACTGCATTTTCCCTCTTGGGTCTCTCCAAAGTGAATTACGTATGTACCAAATAGCCATAGCCCGAGCAATCTTACCGCTTTCTCCTAACTTCACGGTGTACCTGAAGTTCTGTCACTAGACCAGAAATAAGTGTATTCCTGCGCGGTAACACTTTTCAATGTGCGTCATCAAATTTTGCACAACTAACATATATAATATAATATAGCATAGCACAAGTCAATTTCCAAATACATTTACCTTTGATTAGAAACTGAGGGTAGCTCTGGTGCGGTGAAACAAGTAGCCACAGCTGCCCTGGGGCACACTGACAGAAGCGAGGCAACCAGTCTGTGCCATCGGCCCCTCCCACCACCACCAACCATTCACACACACACCTGACTCATTCTAATGTGGGGGAAGGTCTCTCATCCTAGCACTAACCAGGCCCTGTCCTGCTTAGCTTCAGAGTTCTGACAGGATATGGCTTTCCTCTGCAGGTATGACCACAAACCTTTGGATCTGAAGAATACATACACTGCAAAAAATGATCAAATATGAGGTAATATCTGCTTGACTCCAGTGCTTTTGTAGCTGATGTGTTCGATTCTCCAGCGGGACGAAAACAATTAGTCTGATTTTGACACATTCCAAGGGAGACATTTCTGTATCTTTTTAAAAAAACATTTTGCTTTGTCCATCCATCCATTTTCTTCCCCTTAGTCCATTTCTGGGTCGGGGGTGGCAGTCCCTCTGATCCTGCTGCAGGTGCTGAGTCCACAGGAGCCTTGATCTTTCAACAGGGGCTTCAGGCAAAGTGGGGTTAAGTGTCTTGCCCAAGGACACAACGACAGCAGACATCAGTGGGAGTCGGTGGAGAAGACCTCTTGGTGTGTTCGAACCCCCCACTGCCGCCCCATATTACTTTGTCCCTTTGGAATCGTGGGTTTGACTCCACCACGACCCAGTCACCTGCTCCCACTTATGTCTGCTGTCGTTGTGTCCCTGGGCAAGACACTTCACCCCACTCTGCCTGAAGCCCCCCCTCCCCCATCATCTTGTGGACCCACCACCTGCAGCAGGATCAGAGGGATTGGGGCTTTGAGACTTGGGTGCAGCTCTGATTGCCACCTCCCTGACTCAGAAATGGATTAACAACTAACTTGCTATCACCAAGTTACATTTGTAGTTTCAGTCCGTCCTCTCACCTCGAGCTCAGACATCTGCACCTCCCGCTCTCTCACGTCACATCCATCCATCTCTGCACAGCGTCCTCTCGCTCTCCGCCTCTGATATTATTTGTGCAGAAATAACTCACGGGGAGAACGGGGAGAACGTGGAGGAACGCGGCGGAACTGCAGCGGTTGGAACATTGTTTACTCACGGTTCATTAGTTTGCCGTGAGGTGGGCTTCTCCCTTCAGGCTTCCAGCTCACAGCTAATGCTCTTCCTCTGCTCACTACCTGCAATTAGCCCGGAAACATTACGACGCCCGCTGAAGTCTGACTAATAGAGAGAATCTATCACTCGCTTCCCGCCGCGTGCTGTTCTCGACCTGCTCCCTGCGAGTTTGCGCTAATCCATCGTACAATAACACACTTTTTATGGTTTGTGTGGAAAGAAATGAGTCTTGAAAATAGAAATGATTGGAAGTTTTTGGATTCTGTCTCGTGTGAAGGAAAGTTAAGACAAAATCAAAAAGATAGGTGAAAACCAGAGTCCACTGTCACTTTACGTCACTTCTGTGCAATAATAATGTAAATAATGTCAGAATGTGCAAAATAGAACCACATGAGTCCACTGTCCACCGGACCCTTCCATCTACACCTGCCCTGCCCGACCCGCCTCAGTCCTGCACCGGACCTGTCCTCACTTTTTTCCCACTGGGTTTTAGAGTTTTTCCTCTGATGCAGGAGTCTGTTGGACAGGAACCTTCCTTTCCTCGGTCCTCTTTGTGGTCCTCTCTGTGGTCCTCTCAGTGGTCCTCTCTGTGGTCCTCTCAGTGTCCTCTCTGTGGTCCTCTCTGTGGTCCTCTCAGTGTCCTCTCTGTGGTCCTCTTAGTGGTCCTCTTTGTGGTCCTCTCTGTGGTCCTCTCAGTGGTCCTCTCTGTGGTCCTCTCAGTGTCCTCTCTGTGGTCCTCTTAGTGGTCCTCTCTGTGGTCCTCTCAGTGTCCTCTCTGTGGTCCTCTTAGTGGTCCTCTCTGTGGTCCTCTCAGTGTCCTCTCCGTGGTCCTCTCTGTGGGCCTTTCTGTGGTCCTCTCAGTGGTCCTCTTTGTGGTCCTCTCTGTGGTCCTCTCTGTGGTCCTCTCTGTGGTCCTCTCAGTGTCCGTGTCTCCACTACAGTAGGACCACTCGGCAACGTCATGAGTTGCGATTTATTTATATTTATATTATAATCCCACCAACATCCAACTTTTCCTTATTTTTGTGTATTTAATTTAATGTACAGTGGCTCCTTGTTTATTGCAAAGTTGTGTTCTAAAAATAATCTGTGAAGTAGCAGCTGCAAGTTTGAAAGCTTTAGAATCTCTCACACAAACCTTCGACACTTTTCTAACCTCCTCACGACCGCTGAAGTGCGATCGTCGAGACTTTGAACCTGTTTGTAGTAGATCTGAGTGCTGCTGCAGCTGTCAAAAGCCGTGCATACACTGCCAACACAGCTGCAGAGTCCTGGAAACCCATCACAGCAGTGCACTCACAATTTGCCACAGCATTTATATTCTATTTTTAATAAAAGTAAGAGTATACTTTTACACTACGATACTATGTTGTGCACTAATCGGTCAAACCACTGCGTCCAAACTACGGAGACACACACAAACCAAAAAGTAAATGGAAAGAGACTATTTACATACATTTCTAAGTCCTTGACACTTTTCCACAATAGCGTCTTCATTAGGGAGTTGTTGTGGTGCTGTCTGGGCTTGTATCACAGCTAAGCCTCATTAGCCGCCGCCTCAGACCTCAGCCCGAACACACACCGATGCCTCCAACACACAGCGGGATCAGCACAACCATTGGACACATTCTATACAGTGTTCTTCACCAAAGGGAAGACACCGTTTACTCTTTTTCTCAGATTTTGTGACCTGTGATCTCGGGCTGAAAGGGGCTCTCTGTGACAAAAGTATAAAAGTCCAAAATGAGACAAAATGCTTCTTTTTTGTGAGGACAGGAGATAAGTCAGTGCTTTTCTCAAAGTCACTTCAACAATGTTTTGTGATGCTACAATAATGAGATACTCTGGTGGAGTATTGAGAAACTGTTAGCCCGGGATCCAGTCTGATCCAGGCCCATGTGTTCCATATTCCCCCTGAGCTCTCAGTCTGGTCTCCTGCCCAGCGTTGTGTTGTCTAAGGTGGGACACTCTTGAATAAACAGATTAGAGGCCAGATCAGTTGTGACGAGTTCTCTGGATGAGAAAGTAAACACAGTTTGGTTAAGAAAGAGAATAGACAGAAATATTTTATTTTATTTTATTGTGTTCAAAACCTTCTTTATTGCTATATAAGTAACAGGAAGTCACAGACCAGGAAATGGCTTTGGCTTTCGGTGCAAACGAGTCAAAAGTAGAAAAAGAATAAGACATAACTAAAATCTAAAACCATTTCTAAAATAAATAAACAAGTGCACAAAAGACATTAAGAAGTGGGGTAAGGCAACAGTAAAGTGACTGTATAAAGGGCAGTTAGGTGACCTTATAAAGGGCAGTTAGGTGACTTTATAAAGGGCAGTTAGGTGACTTTATAAAGGGCAGTTAGGTGACGGTATAAAGGGCAGTTAGGTGACCTTATAAAGTGTAGTTAGGTGACCTTATAAAGGGCAGTTAGGTGACTTTATAAAGGGCAGTTAGGTGACCTTATAAAGGGCAGTTAGGTGACCTTATAAAGGGCAGTTAGGTGACCTTATAAAGGGCAGTTAGGTGACCTTATAAAGGGCATTGAGGTGACCTTATAAAGGGCAGTTTGGTGACCTTATAAAGGGCAGTTAGGTGACTTTATAAAGGGCAGTTAGGTGACTGTATAAAGGGCAGTTAGGTGACTTTATAAAGGGCAGTTAGGTGACTGTATAAAGGGCAGTTAGGTGACTGTATAAAGGGCAGTTAGGTGACTGTATAAAGGGCAGTTAGGTGACTTTATAAAGGGCAGTTAGGTGACTTTATAGTGGGGGAGGGGTTAGGAACAACATCAAAGCAAAAATAAGCTCCAACCTCCCACCAAGGTGATATAGGGTCCTAAGTTAAGTGAATTCAACAATTCACTCCCCTTGGCCTCAGCTACCACCCCTGTGGTTGGTTCAGGTAATGCAAGTGAATCATACATTTAAATTTCATTACTGGCCTATGTCTTTTTGTTTCCCAAATGTTGCAAAGTGGTCCTCTGCTCCAAGTTGAAATAAAGGCAGAAACTCAACACTTCTTCGGAGCCTGACAATCTCCTAGACTTTTCACTCTTCCAGCTCCCGCTTGACCCTAACAGCCTCCCTTGCCAGTTTGTTCAAGCCCTCAATTTGAAACGACTGACATTTTATGGTAGTCTCTTGTTGCACAATGTCAAACATCAACTTATGTAGCTCCTTCTCTCGCCTTTCAGCCATGGCAGAAGATGTGGACAACACATGGAGTCGTTGTGCATGTGCCTCCTCACGATCCTTCGAATTCCTTAGTCTGACAATCTCCTTCTTTGACTCCTCCACAGCAGCCTTAAACCCAACAGACTCTTGCACCTGTTTTTGTAGGGCTGCGATTTTGTAAGACTGCCTGACTATTGTTGCCTCTTTTTGTGCAATTTCAATCGCAAACTTGTGTATCGCCTCTTCTAGACTTTTTATGGCGGCCGCAGAAACAACCGAAGCGGACAACGCCTCTTGGAGTTTCTGTGTTGCGATCCCACGTTTCCTCTCCTTTAGATCAACACACCTCAGGAGCCTCAAGTTCTCTCTTTTCAACTCTCCTATTTCACCCTTGAGCACATCAGACTGCCAGACCTGTTTTTCTGGGCCTGCAATTTTTAAGATCTGGTATTCTATTGTTTTGTTTCGTCGTGCAAGTTCAGAATTTAAACTCTGCACAATTTCCTCTTGGTCAGAATTCTGCAGTTTCTGGGCCGCAACAACATGTGCTTTCTCTTGTTCCTCAACATAGGTGTTTGGAGATTGAGACAGGTTCCCACTCTCTGCCAAATTCCTGTTGAGTTGCTCCACATTCCTGAGAAGGCTGACGTTATCCTGCTCCAGCTTTTTGCAACACTCTTTCTTCAACTCAAGATCATGTTGAGTATTGGCCAGTTCCTGCTGCAGTTGCCTTAGGCTGTCCTTTCTGTCATTCTCCACCTCATCTAACCTAATGACTTGGTTTTTGAGTTCTGTGGCCTCTCTGACCAGTTCAATGTTCCGTTCCTCGACTTCTGAAACTAACTTTTTCTGAGCTGCAAGAGAACTTCTAAGCTTTTTGACCCAATTGACCAGCTTCTCCTTCTTTTTCAGTTCCTCTTTCCATTTCAGTGTGTCGATATCACTCTGACGTTTCTCCTCTTTCAGCCTTACAACTTGGTCTTTGAGGTCTCGTGCCTCTCTGAGCAGTTCAACATTCCGCTCTTCTGTTTGTTGAATGGTCTTTTTGCAGTCACATTTCCCGGTGGCCTCCTGCAGTTGCTCCTGTAGTTCCTGACACCTACTTTGAGATAAAGCCAAGTTCTCTTTTATGGCTTTCTGTTGGGCTTCTCCTTCGGAAAATAACTTTTTCTGGTCCACAAGATCACTCCTCAGCTTGTTAACCTGCATGGCGAGCATGTCCTTACTTTTCAGTTCCTCTATCCAATTCAATGCTTCGTCATTAAGCTCGCGTTTCCCGTCCTCTAACTCGGCAACTTTCTCTTTGAGCTCTGCAGCCTCTCTCAGCAGCTCCTTATTCTGTTCCTCTCTTTGCTTGAGGATCTTCTCGCAGTCGCATTTCTCCTGCAATAACCCAGAGACTGACTTTTTCTGAGTTGCGAGTGAGCTGTCCTGATGTCTGGCTTGCATGGACAGTCCCAGTTCCTCAGGCCCTTTCAGTCCACTTGTCTCTTGTATAAGCTGCTCCTCTGTCTCTTGGTCAGAATTAAGTTCATGAGACTTCGATACTGCAGCAGGTGGCTCGTCTCGGTCAAACTCACAAATCGCAGTAATGGGACTAAAACTTACCTTCTTTTTAGGTGTCTCATCTATACGGGAGTGCATTTTCTCCATCATGGAAGACTCATTTGCTGAATCGTCAGAGCTGTTCCAGTCTGAATCTGAAAGGTCGCATGGTTCTAGCGGTGTAATATTTACGTTATTGCATGACTGATGCCTGTTATTTAAGGCAAAGTCCTCCGCTATGTCATCCTGTTTGGTTTTAAAGGCTCCACATTCTAAAATAACTCCCACCATGTCACAAATTTTCCTGAGTTTCTTAAACATTTTAGCAGTTGTGGTAAATGTAAGCTAAGATCAGATAAACTATGTCGCGCTAACAATGGAGACATTTACTTTTGTCGTGGATAAACTGACTTCTCTGTTCGGACAGCCCTGTGTCTTGTGTGGCCCTGCCTGGGCCCTGTCTGACGCACTCTGCCTGAAACTGTGACATCACTTAGAAGGCAAGTGTCGTCACGGTAACGGTGTAAGGAGGCCTATAGCGTCGCCATGGAAACATAACACTGTGACCATGGTAACCCCACCATGGAAAGAACTCTGGTGTGTGTCTTGCAGGGTTTTTCCAATGTGGTTTTACTGCAAATGGTAAATAAAATAAATTCTTATCTTTACATAATACTGTGGAATAAAGTTATTTATTCACTTAGATTTTTCAACTGTCATTTATTTATTGCCAACAATTAACTTTCTGTGTGCATCTGTGTGTGTATCTGTGTGTGCATCTGTGTGTGCATCTGTGTGTGTATCTGTGTGTGTATCCGTGTGTACATCTGTGTGTGCATCTGTGTGTGTATCTGTGTGTGTATCTGTGTGTGCATCTGTGTGTGTATCTGTGTGTGTATCTGTGTGTTTATCTGCGTGTACCTCAGTGTGTACATCCTAGTGAAGTGGGGACCACACTTAACACACTTGTCTGGTGTATATATGGGGACCATTGTAGTTGGGCAATACCCTCCACATGAATTCATTATACAGACAACATAACAGAATATAGTGAGGACGGTAGAGAGTGAGTGGGGAGGGGCTGTCATTGATTTAAATTCTCCACTATTTACTTTGACAGGGCTTGAATAAACCAGAATGTGTTCGTCCATCAGTTGGATTCATTCCTTCCCTTGTTGACTACTCCGACTCTGACTCTCAAGACCCATGCATGAGTCCTGCCAAGCTAATAGAAAGCAGCAAGGTACTTGTATATGTATGTATCTATATATATGTATGTATGTACAGTATGTATGTGCAGTATGTATGTATGTACAGTGCCTTGCAAAAGTATTCGGCCCCCTTGAACCTTTCAACATTTCGCCACATTTCAGGCTTCAAACATAAAGATATAAAAAACTAATTTTTTGTCAAGAATCAACAACAAGTGGGACACAATCGTGAAGTGGAACGACAATTTTTGGATAATTTAAAGTTTTTTAACAAATAAAAAACTGAAAAGTGGGGCGTGTAATATTATTCGGCCCCCTTGCGCTAATACTTTGTAGCGCCACCTTTTGCTGCAATTACAGCTGCAAGTTGCTTGGGGTATGTCTCTATCAGTTTTGCACATCGAGAGACTGGAATTCTTGCCCATTCTTCCTTGCAAAACAGCTGGAGCTCAGTGAGGTTGGATGGAGAGCGTTTGTGAACAGCAGTCTTCAGCTCTTTCCACAGATTCTTGATTGGATTCAGGTCTGGACTTTGACTTGGCCATTCTAACACCTGGATAAGTCTATTTGTGAACCATTCCATTGTAGATTTGGCTTTATGTTTTGGATCATTGTCCTGTTGGAAGATAAATCTCCGTCCCAGTCTCAGGTCTTTTGCAGACTCCAACAGGTTTTCTTCCAGAATGGTCCTGTATTTGGCTCCATCCATCTTCCCATCAATTTTAGCCATCTTCCCTGTCCCTGCTGAAGAAAAGCAGGCCCAAAGCATGATGCTGCCACCACCATGTTTGACAGTGGGGATGGTGTGTTCAGGGTGATGAGCTGTGTTGCTTTTACGCCAAACATATCGTTTTGCATTGTGGCCAAAAAGTTCAATTTTGGTTTCATCTGACCAGAGCACCTTCTTCCACATGTTTGGTGTGTCTCCCAGGTGGCTTGTGGCAAACTTTAAACGAGACTTTTTATGGATATCTTTGAGAAATGGCTTTCTTCTTGCCACTCTTCCATAAAGGCCAGATTTGTGCAGTGCACGACTGATTGTTGTCCTATGGACAGACTCTCCCACCTCAGCTGTAGTTATCTGCAGTTCATCCAGAGTGATCATGGGCCTCTTGGCTGCATCTCTGATCAGTCTTCACCTTGTTTGAGATGAAAGTTTGGAGGGACGGCCGGGTCTTGGTAGATTTGCAGTGGTCTGATACTCCTTCCATTTCAATATAATTGCTTGCACAGTGCTCCTTGAGATGTTTAAAGCTTGGGAAATCTTTTTGTGTCCAAATCCAGCTTTAAACTTCTCCACAACAGTATCTCGGACCTGCCTGGTGTGTTCCTTTGTCTTCATGGTTCTCTCTGCGCTTTAAACAGAACCCTGAGACTATCAAAGAGCAGGTGCATTTATACAGAGACTTGATTACACACAGGTGCATTCTATTTATCATCATCTGTCATTTAGGACAACATTGGATCATTCAAAGATCCTCACTGAACTTCTGGACTGAGTTTGCTGCACTGAAAGTAAAGGGGCCCAATAATATTGCACGCCCCACTTTTCAGTTTTTTATTTGTTAAAAAAGTTTAAATTATCCAATAAATTTTGTTCCACTTCACAATTGTGTCCCACTTCCATCCATCCATCCATCCATCCATTTTCTTCCCCTTAATCCATTTCTGGGTCAGGGGGGTGGCAGTCAGAGCTGCACCCAGTACACATAGCACCAGCCCCTCACTGATCCTCCTGCAGGTGGTGAGTCCACAGGAGCTGAGATCTTTCAGTTGGGGCTTTGGGCAAAGTAGGGTTAAGTGTCTTGCCCAAGGACACAACGACAGCAGTCATCAGTGGGAGTCGTGAAGTAGGTCTTACGGTGGGCTCAAACCCACGACCTTCAGGCCCAAAGGCCAATGCTCTACCAACTGAGCTACTGTCGCCTTGTGTCCCACTTGATGATTAATGACAAAAAATTAAAATTTTATATCTTTATGTTTGAAGCCTGAAATGTGGCGAAATGTTGAAAGGTTCAAGGGGTCGAATACTTCCGCAAGGCACTGTATGTATGTATGTACAGTATGTATGTATGTATGTATGTAGGTACACTGAAAAAAAACTCAATTATACCTAAAATCAACTTAACATTTAGCCTTTTTTTAATACAAAACATTGCTTCAATTTTAACGAATTTAATAGTTTTGTTTTACAAAATATTTTACCTCAAAATACAGGACCATTCTAAAGAAATTCTAAAATTAGCCAATTTGAATTCTAACAATGCAAACATGAAAACACAAATCATTTGGTAAACTTTAATTTTAAATACTGTAAAAACACAGTCAATCTTTAACAGTCTACATTAAACATTTTAATGATCACCATTTCAGCATTAGAGACAAAATAAGTACATTTTATGTCAACCTCAACATAACAGACTGACCAAAGTAATGGTTAAAACAACAGTCAGGAGTAAACTATTGACTCTTCTAAACAAACAACAATCTGACATTCTGCTAAAATAACAAATAACATTCACATCATTAAGGGACATGTGACATAAACAAGAGCCAAGGACTAGTTGGCATTTTGAAGTTTCCCAAAAAGCGTGAGCACTTTTGGGGACATCTTGTGAGTGTCCAGCTCCATAAAACATTTCTGGAACACCTCAAACGTGTAATGCAGACAATTTGGATCGGCCAGGTTCAGTTCATAGATCAAGCCAAAAAGGAGGACGCACGCAGATGTGATGGAGGAAAGTCCAGTCAAGAGTCTGACTCCTTCAATGGCAACACCAATATTACCAGGAGACTGCACCTCACACCTGCCGCTCCGATGGAAAACACTGCCATGGTTACCAGCTCCAAGTCCCCCTGAAGGTCATCTTCCTGACAGTCCTGAGGAGCACAAAAGTGTTGCTTTTGAGACCTGCATTTGAATAAAAGGTTTTACTAAACCCATGCCGTGTTTCCCAACCAACTATCAACCATGACACTGTAACGTTAAGAGAAAAAAAAAAAATAAAAATATCCCCCTTATCCAGTGGTCGACAACCTGCTGCCCTTTGGCAAAGATAAAAACATACCAATGATTTAGGAGAGAGCAACACTCCTCAAGCCATCTACAAGTCTACCATCTGCTCCAGATGAGTGGGGGTCAGGTGGACCTACAAGTCTACCATCTGCTCCAGATGAGTGGGGGTCAGGTGGACCTACAAGTCTACCATCTGCTCCAGATGAGTGGGGGTCAGGTGGACCTACAAGTCTACCATCTGCTCCAGATGAGTGGGGGTCAGGTGGACCTACAAGTCTACCATCTGCTCCAGATGAGTGGGGGTCAGGTGGACCTACAAGTCTACTATCTGCTCCAGATGAGTGGGGGTCAGGTGGACCTACAAGTCTACCATCTACTCCAGATGAGTGGGGGTCAGGTGGACCTACAAGTCTACCATCTGCTCCAGATGAGTGGGGGTCAGATGGACCTACAAGTCTACCATCTACTCCAGATGAGTGGGGGTCAGGTGGACCTACAAGTCTACCATCTGCTCCAGATGAGTGGGGGTCAGATGGACCTACAAGTCTACCATCTGCTCCAGATGAGTGGGGGTCAGGTGGACCTACAAGTCTACCATCTGCTCCAGATGAGTGAGGGTCAGGTGGACCTACAAGTCTACCATCTGCTCCAGATGAGTGGGGGTCAGGTGGACCTACAAGTCTACTATCTGCTCCAGATGAGTGGGGGTCAGGTGGACCTACAAGTCTACCATCTGCTCCAGATGAGTGGGGGTCAGGTGGACCTACAAGTCTACCATCTGCTCCAGATGAGTGGGGGTCAGATGGACCTACAAGTCTACCATCTGCTCCAGATGAGTGGGGGTCAGATGGACCTACAAGTCTACCATCTGCTCCAGATGAGTGGGGGTCAGATGGACCTACAAGTCTACCATCTACTCCAGATGAGTGGGGGTCAGGTGGACATTTGTGAATGAAGTTAAAACATTGGACTTGAACACAACGTACAACACAAATTACACATTCATCACATTTGGAAACAAATCTGGTGCAAAAAAAACATTGAAACCTTTTTAAACTGAAAAGCTTTTTGCTCCTCTTTTTGGTCTATTCTCTCCCTCCAAGAGAAAAGTACAGAAGAGAGAGAGAGAGAGAGAGTGAGAGTGAGAGTGAGAGTGAGAGTGAGAGTGAGAGTGAGAGAGAGAGAGAGAGAGAGAGAGAGAGAGAGAGAGAGAGAGAGAGAGAGAGAGAGAGAGAGAGAGAGAGAGAGAGAACACCTAGAGGAGAAAGCAGCGATAGTGAAATAGATGGAAAGTATAAAGGAGGTAGAGGGAGAAAAGATTAGTGGATGAACATTTCAGGAGAAATAAGGAGAAGAGGAGCAAAGGTACAGGAGGAATCAGGAGAACCTCAGTCATGTGACTTGGTTGGTAACCCATTGTGGCAAAGTGTAAGCAGGATAAATTAACGCTTTGACAGAAATGGCATTCTGCATAATCTTTGCAGGTAAATCTGATTTTATGTTTGCAAAACTTTTTCTGTGAGGAAACATTGCTTAGAACCATTTGTCAGGAACCTTTGAGTTCAAGATATTAAGTTTATAGTTTAACATTTACTTACCTCATACTGAATGAGGTTGTTCTCCAGGGACGGTGATGAGGGCCTTCAGAATGCTTGTTCTTTTCATACGGATGTCTTCAGCCTGAATACAGATAAATGTGCCATAGGTGCCGTTTAGGATTCATGCTTTGTCACTAGGGCTGGGTGTTTTTCTTGTAACATTGTGATTACATCGAGTCTCTTTGAAACGTTAAACACTCGTTGTTTTCATCTGTGGATAAACAGTCAAACAAGGCCCGGTTCATTACCTGGTCATAGGTGTGCATGATTGGGGCCAGCTTTTCCCGCATTTCTCCTCCCTTCAGTCGTGCCAGTGCCAAGAGTGCTGTCGAATGCTTGTCTAGTTGGGCAAACAACTTGGCCTCTAGAGGAAGCGCTATAAGCCTCTGGAACTCTGCATTTATCTGAAAGAGACACTACATAAATTAACAAATCTGACCACTGATGCGCAATGAACAAAGTGGTTTTCAATACCTCGAGTGGACTGAAAAGTGCAGACCATCTGTCCTTAAAGTCACGAATGATGGGCTCAGTGTTCACCACTTCCTGCCTTCTGTATGCAAATGTGTGGGCCATTTTATTCATGACAACTCGATCACTGTTTCTCTTCGGCAGTTTTTTCAGGATTGCAAGTCTCTCCTCTTCAAGAGTGTCATTTGTCTCTCCAGTAGGCAAGGACGGATAGAAATTGGCTTCTGCCCTCCTCGGCCTTTTCACACTCCTTGCTGGCGATTTGTTGGGTGTTTCCTTTTTAGAGTTGATGGACAGTCGAGAACTTTGAGCTGGGTTCTATAATTGCCCATCTTATACTTGAGCCTCTGCTTCCATTGAAGGATCCTGGTTCTTTCAAACAAGGATGTTTGCAGATCAATGCTCCTGCCACTTCACTAAAGTGGGCATCTGTTGGGTACGCTGTGTATTTATAGATATCTTCGGTAAGCTCATTTAAAATGTCTGATTTTGTCTTGGTATTGAGGGTTAACAATTTGTTGTTAGTGTGGTATGCCAAAGTTCCCCTCTCTAGCTGGACCTCAGTTTCAATCGAAAACTGACGAATAGTGAACTGTGGTGACCACTGCTCTACGGCTTCAGTGATGAGAGGACGGCTTCAGTGGAGGCCACTGAACTACAAGCAGACTCCTGTAAAACTGTTACTGGTGAAGATTCCGCAGTAACTGTGAACGTTAAAGGAACTATTTCTAGTGGCACTACCTTGATTGTTCCCAAATCCTTCACTTCAGTTGTAGTGTTCAGATTGAAAAATTGGTAACCAAAATCTTCATCCATGTACTGGAGGCGAATGTCTGTTTGTCCAAATGTGTTCTGGACAATATTTACAAGTTCCACTAAGGACAGGGGTACTCGATCAGGAAGAGTCAATTTCTCTACATTATTTTCCCCCAGGATAATTTTGAGCCGAGCAGGTTTGGAAGTCATACACTAAAGCCTAGCGTACATCGGACTGGCAACTGATTATATCCGTCGCCTCTGAGTTGCTGCCCCGCACACATCGACAATCTGGCGAAAACGGGCAACTCTGAGTTGCAGGCCAGTCTCGGGAATAACAGCGCGTACATCGACAGCAACTGGCCGTCAACTATAGTGTGTTTTCTGACATAAACTGTAGAGGGCGCGCTATACACGCAATGTAACAGAAACAGAGGAAGAAGATACACGCAATATCACGTGACTGTCCAAAATGGCGCACTACGAGTCGAAGGTATGTTTCCCCACCAATTCTATTTGCACTACGTGTTATACAATTCTAACGCTCGTGATTCTTGATTAAAGTACACGAAATGTGATGAATATGCTAACAAGCATTGATAATTGAAAGTTTAATCTGTTGAAAGACTGCAGTCTGTCTCAATCAACCATTTTCTCTTTCCGATCGCAACTCGGCACACATCAACCATCATTCATCAACGATGTAAATTCAAATTCAATCCAATCCATATCTACAGTATGAATTGGATTGGATATGTTGGACGCCCAACATATCCTATTGAAGCCCTGTCTCTCCTATACACAAGTCAATATGGCATGGCCTACAGGTTTTTATGGACTTTGTCTAGGCCTATGCTCTGCAATGCTAAGTCTTGTTAGTTAATACAAATAAAACCAAAAATACATCTTAATCAATAGGCTTACAATATACAATTTATAAAAAGAAAATTAGGCTATGTTTTTCTTATACATAGTTCCAGTTATTTGAATGTATTACACAAAACATGGAATCTTAAAATGTAATTTACTTTCCTTAACAGATTATGAAGCTAAATATCAGGAAGAGGTACTTGCTCGAGAAAGAAAGGCGGCAACGTGCAGCTGCTGCTGCTGCTCTATGGATCCTTCTTGATGAAGACAATGAGGGTCAGAAAAGAAAACGGCTGTGGATGAAGCCATGGCTTACACGTCATGATGAGCAAGGGGCATACCCAAATCTGGTTAGGGAATTGGAAGAAACTGATCTACTCTCATACAAAAATTATTTTCGAATGGGGCCAGAACAATTTTCTGAGTTGTTAGAGAAGGTGGAGCCATTAATTATAATGAGTATGTAATGTGTATGTAATTCTTAAACTGTATATTTTGCTGCCTCTTGGCCAGGACTCCCTTGAAAAAGAGGTTTTTAATCTCAATGGGACTTTCCTGGTTAAATAAAGGTTAATAAATTAATAAATAAATAATTTCTAAACAAGACACCAATTTTCGAAGGGCAGTATCGGCAGGAGAAAGATTGGCAGTCACACTGAGATTCCTAGCAACTGGTGAGTCGACATTCACTTTTATGTAAGAATGATTTATATTATGTTAATAATGGAAGAATAATTGTTTGTACTGAAATTGATTAATTTACTTTTGAATAAACTGTTTTGCAATCCTTATGTAACTTTAGTAAAAATGTAATGTTTTCTAGGTGAATCATACAAAAGTCTTGGGTACTCATTCCGGCTTGGATCGACTACAATTGGGAAGATAGTTCGTGAAACGTGTTCTGCCATATACAATGTGCTAAAAGATGATTATATGAAAGTAAGTATTTTTATTTTCAAACAACACAGCAATAACACAGCAATAACACAGCAATAACAACATGAATTTATGAATTTAAAAAGTGCACGTATCCCCCAGCCTGATAGTGAGCTGGCTGTTGGGGTGATTGATTCGTGAAGTTAGGCATCATAGCGTCTAAGATGGACAGCTCAGCTTCAGAAATTGCATTGTTTAGAACTGCAATCAGCCTAGTTTTTGTCCTTTGGTCTTTTATCTTTCGGAGTCGACTGGCGACATACTGGCCAAAAACATCATCCTCATCCATTCTCTCCTCTTCCATGTCTGGTAGGGAAAGAGGCTTCGCGATGCTCTCTGCAATGCTATTTAGCACAGCCATCTTTTCCCTATTTAGGCGTTCGGCTGCTCTCTCAGTTGGCCCTGGATTCACCCTCCTCTTTTTAATAGCCGGTGGATTAGGGGGGTCGAACTCCTTGCTCGATACCGAGCAGGTCGGTGTGCTGGTTCCTGACCGGACTTCTACATTGAAGCTGCTGCTCGAGGGGGTGGGGCTTGCACATGTCCGAGTGCTCTCATCGTCGGATGACGACAAACCAATTTCCTCGTCTGTGTCGTCCTGGGAGTTACTCTCGAGCTGAAATAGATAAAATTGTTTTAATAAGTAACCATGTAATATTTTTTGCTTTCAGATGCCACAATCACAGGAAGACTGGCTTACAATATCAAAAAGGTTTATGGAAAGATGGAATTTTCCACATACACTGGGAGCTTTGGATGGAAAGCATATTGCTGTACGTGCCCCTCAGAACTCAGGCTCTCTATACTATAACTACAAGAACTTCTTTAGTATTGTGCTATTGGGCCTTGTAGATGCTGATTACAAGTTTATATATGTTGATGTTGGATGCAATGGCCGGATCTCTGATGGGGGAGTATTTGCTGGATGTTCTCTGGCAGAAGCGCTGAACAGACGATTGGCAAATAAACCAGAGCCGACACAACTTCCTGGTGGAGAGAGCCCAGTGTCATACCACATTATTGGGGATGATGCCTTCCCCCTACGAGATGATCTAATGAAGCCATTTCCTTTCCGAAACATGAAGAAAGAACAGAGGATTTACAACTATCGGTTGTCTCGAGCTAGGCGTGTGGTTGAAAATGCTTTTGGCATTTTGAGTTGTCGATTCAGAGTTTTTCTCAATAGGATGTTCCTGGAACCAGATGTTGTGGAGAACATAGTTATGTGTGCATGTGCACTCCACAATTTCCTGATTGTGAAAAATGATGGACATTATCTGAGCCAAGGACTTGTGGACCAAGAATCGACAACACATGATGTAACCCCACACTGTAAAAAAAAATCTGTGAATTTTACGGTAAAAATCTGGCAGCTGGAGTTGCCATTTTTCTACTGTAAAATATACAGTCTCCCATTAATACATTTTACAGGTAAACATAATCTTAGATGTTTTTATGACAGTTTATTACTGTCAATTCAACAACTATAATCTGTAATAAAAACTTTAAGAAACATTTTTTTTGCAACTAAAGAGTTTAGTTTAAAAAACATTAAACTGTAAAATGTACGGTTTCTACCTTTATAAAATTACACATTTTATACGTGAAATTCACAGTAAAAAAATGGCAACTCCAGCTGCCAGAATTCTACTGTAAAATTTACAGTCTACCTGTAATACAATTTACAGTTAAACATTGTCTTAGATGTTATCATGACAGTTTATTACCGTCAATGTAAAACCTATGATCCGTATAATTTATAATTAAAATCTGTAATAAAAATGTAAACCATTATTTTTTGCAACAAAAGAGTTTAGTTTAAAAAAAAATCAACTGTAAAATTTACAGATTTTACCTTTATAAAAATACATATTTTATGTGTAAAATGTACAGTAGAAAAATGGCAACTCCAGCTGCCAGAATTTTACTGTAAAATGTACAGTCTTCCTGTAATAACATTTACAGTTAAAAATGGTCCTACATGTTTTTTTCTACAGCTGATTAGTCTATTGAAGAGCAATTTTTTTTTAAATATACAATTATAACCTGTACAAAAATACATTTAACACTGCATTTTGTACAGTCCATGCCTATCTTGTTAAAAAAAAACACAATTAAAATTTCTATACACAATTTATTTTTGTTCACAATACAAAAACAATAAACACTTCATCACATGAGAGGCAAATCCATTCATAAATAATAACAATAAAAAAGGTCTAGTAGTGAAAAGTGTTTGTTTTGCTTTTGTTAATTAGGCCTATATCAGAAATGTGTGTAGAGAAAAAAAATCTTTGCAATACAGACACAAAATATCTATCAAATGTGAATAAAATCACTAGGAAAATAGGGCCTTTCATGCCAATAGTACAATGGTTGACTGCATGCTTTACACACTATTGTTTCAAATTTCCAAAGGTCTGTACTCACAGGTTTACAGTTTTTAATTAGCTTCAGGCGTTGCAGTTCACAGGTGTACGAAAGTCTTACTCTGAAAATGACGGTACTCTGCAAGTCGTTCATAGCTACATGTCCAGTGTGTCGAATTCTTGTTGTTCACCATCAAACCTGAAAAATAAAAATAAAAGAGGGATATTTTAATTCTAATAAATCCAGAAACACACATCTAAGCAGCCCTTCTGTAGGCCACCACCAGAGGCCTAGGGGCAAGATGGAGAAGACATGCTCAAAGCACACACTATATCTGTGAGTGTCATGTCATACTATTGTGGAATACATCATACCATCAAATCAAACCAAATTTATAATCATTTTCGAATGGCTCTGTAGACAATCTACAAGCTTCTATTTATGGAATCATCAAATTGCCATCTGTGATTGGTCTCAAATCTAAGCAATCACTATATCCTGAGTTTACAGGCAAAAGGTGCGTCGAAATTTTTGGAGCGCACACACGTGAGGATACACAGGCTAATGAGTTATTGCAATGAACTCAGTACAAGCCACAACTTTTAACAGATTTATACAATCAAACAGCTTACCAATAAGGAATATAGGTCCATTTTCAAAAGGCCATGAGGATAGTAAAATTCCTACAATAGAAATAGAAAATGTGAAGAACAAATTAATCATTTAAAAACAACAATCAATCTTAGACATTTTGCAAAGAAGAAACTATCCACCTTTAAGAGAATTTTGATAATCAGCATAAAACTTATTATCCTCACAAAACATTTATCAATGAGTAATACAATACCTCCAAAATGTGTCTGATCTTGGGAACATCCTTTGAAGAGTCAATTTAGCCTTCTATGCATCAAATCTATTTACAAAAAAAACAAATATTGTTAGTATCATTTCCAAATGTAACATGTAAATATTACGCTTTTACTTGAACAGTTTTACCTGTAAAATCTCCAACATCATCATTTCTAGCCCAATGGGTTGGTTAATATTCATAGAGCCATAAGACAGTCATTGACCTGTGGAGAGTGAGCAGATTTTTTGTGCTGTTATGAAGGATCTTGTCCATCAAATCTCTTAGGAAGTTATATGTATTCAACACCTCACCTTGAAAATTTCAATGCAGTCATTTCTCAAAGTATATAATATATTTATTATACGATGCGCAACCTATGCCAAAAGAAAAATAAGCTGTAATAAAACATTTGAGTTTACTTTTGATGTACTTAGTACTTACAACTTACCAGTTCCTCCAGAATGTGTAATATTACAATATTTGAATAGTATCTAATTAAATGGACAACCAATCATTAAGTTTCAGTTTTTTTACTCACTATGCCAATTTGTTTGGTTTAGTTAACAATAATCAGAGCAAAAGACATTTGTTTTTATAAAAAAAACTTCAACCGTGTGATTTTTTTCAAATTAAAGTTGGGAACCCATGGGTTGGTTAAATGATCTATGATAAAAAGGTGACAATGAATAAAACGTTTGTTTGCACCAGAAGTTAAATGTTTGCACATTTAACTTTGATAGAAATATTAAAACCCATTTTGGGGAGTGTGGCAACTAACGTTTTTAGTTTTTTTTCCATAATAACAATTAACATTTTTTAAACAGTACATGCAGAACTAAATGACAAAACAAACACTGTCAATGCAGACTTCAAACAATGTGCAACAGTCTTTCAGTCCCTAAACCCTGCCTAGATCCACTCAAAATTAGCTAGATCTGAGATGTGTGTCAGGACCCGTGGATTTACAGAGGGGGTCTTCTTTTTTCTGTTCCATTCAACTTTTGTTCCCTTCTCTTGGTTGATGGAGAAAAGACACCTTCAAGTGTAATAACAAGTATAAATTAAAGTGAAAATATAAGAATAATAAACTAAAATATGTACCTTTGAAGAAACTCCAGTGTTGACCGGAGATCCACGGGGTAGTGAATGTTAAAGCAGAAAAAACTGCCAAACATCAAGCAAAGGGCAGAGGTGAAAGAGGAGAATTCACTGTTGACCACTATGCGATCAATACACAGCATGAAGTTACGTGCAGTAAAGCATGATGACCCTGAAATAGACAAGTTTAGTTAATAGTACATAACAGTTTTAAATACATTTATTTATTCTAATATGTGAATAAACAAAGGCTTTTTAGGAATTAGTTATCAAATTGATAACTTGATACAGACCTAATACAGGTACAAAATATGAGGATTACTTTGTTTACTTACCACAGACAATGATGCAAGGTGTTACTGGGACTGACTCCAACTGAACCTCCTGAGCCAAACATGTGTCCTCAACCAAGTGGAACAAGATTTCCTCTTCCTCTCGAAAGTGTGCCATTAAAAGTAGCACCAGTTGTATGATCTCTTCAGAAGATCCCTCCTACTGATGATAGATATAGGTATAGATAGATAGAGATAGTAGTTTATCACCACTGTGTTTGGAGAGACATCTTTCATCTTCAGAGAACGATGACACTGACATTTCTGTGATTAGAACATAGGAATGTCTCAGGTGTGAGTCCTGAGGAGCGCTGTATAAAACTGATGCATGATTATTATTGTTAACAGTCTTCCTGAAAAGACAGGCTCTGACAATGTTCAAATCCAGGTGAAAAACAGAGTGACAGGAGACGAAGACATCAGAAGATCAAAGGTTTTACAGAAGGTCATGATCTCCATCCCACGACTCTGAAATATGAGACTGAGAACTGATTCAGGTTTAAGACCACAGACCTGAGGATGGGGGGGGAGGATGGGGGGGGGGGCAGACACAGTTATACATGTTAGTGTTGCTGCCATTGGTGCTTTGTGATAATTACCGGTGTTAAATAGTGCTCTGTGGAAGGAATTACAGCCTGTCGCTTCTGTTGCTAAATAGTGAGCTGTGTCCAAATATGGGCGTAAGAGCGATGGTTCCTCAGCTGCGTAGTTTATGTATTTTCATTTTGGCTTTGGCTTTTGGCTTGTATATGTTTAAAGCTGTGTTCAGACGCCGACGTATGGACAGACTGTACGTTAACATACAGGTACATCACGCTTCCAACACTGTCATAACAGCACAGTCTTAACGTGTTTTCTGAGGCGTTCTGAAACCCAGACCCCGGACTGGCGGCGATGGAAAGGTCCCACTGTGCAGCACATGTCTCTGTCTGTGGCCTGTGTTTGGGTGTTTGTCTGGCACCATTTGCTCGCAGTGAAGACCCTCCCCGGCTCAACGCACTTGGCCCAGAGACTGCAGCCTGGTCCTGGGCCAAGATTAAGATGTTTTTCTGTCCTCCGTGCCCCACAAAACGAGCAGTGAGTCCCAGAAAGACCCAGACCAGCTGCACACGGCAAGACCAGCTGCAGAACTATTGTTTTGGTGCATTGTATATGTTTGTGGGCGGAGATTTAGCCATAGTTTTACAATTGTTATTTTTCTTTCTTTTTTCTGCAGTACAGTGTTCATGGTTTTACACTGGTCCAGACCAGAGCAGAGAGGATTCATGGTTTTACACTGGTCCAGACCAGAGCAGAGAGGATTCATGGTTTTACACTGGTCCAGACCAGAGCAGAGAGGATTCATGGTTTTACACTGGTCCAGACCAGAGCAGAGAGGATTCATGGTTTTACACTGGTCCAGACCAGAGCAGAGAGGATTCATGGTTTCACACTGGTCCAGACCAGAACGGAGAGGATTCATGGTCCGAACCATGTGGATCAGGAGAAAATCCACTGGAGGAATGCAAACTTTATGAAAAATGCGGATGAATCATTTAGCATTTTACTTTGGACCAGAGCAGAGAAAATGGTCTGAAAGTGCTGCTGATTATTGTTAATATTGTTAGCTTTTTATAATGATCAATTAATTTGTTTTGTTTGTTTGGATGGATGTGTTTCTGCTGCTCCTGGACACCTGCATTTATCCAACAGGGATCAATAAAGTATCTATATATCTATAAAACATTAAATAAAAACCATTTCAAGATTCATAGTGTGCAGTAGAAATGCGACAATAACTGAAATTGAAATATGTAATGAAATCTATGTAAAACCGTGTTCAGAGCTGGCGTGCGAGGAGCTGCATGGACGTTTATCCTGCTCAAGTGTTTTTACAATATCATGCAGTAGAATTCTCCAACACACAACGATACATTACAAAGTTATACAATACTACCACCGATGGTATAACACACACACACACACACAAACGCACACACACACACACACACACACACACACTCTCCGACCCCCATTACTTGCTTTGTGCTCTTACTTCCAGATATTTGTTCAATAAATCTTTTTTAAACATTCTTTACCTCATCAGATCGTTCCAAACATCAGATCGTTCCAAACAGCAGCTCCACTGAGACACACATTGATTTTAAAGTAGTCCTACATTTAGGCGCATACACTTTTTACTGCCTCTGAGTCTATAATTATGACGAGCATCTCGATCGTGGAAAAGGTTCTGAGTTTCCAGACGCCCGCGACACTGTTTGAGCAGTTTTAAATGTGATCTCATCGTGCAGTTTCAGTTCTCCTAAGATCAGTGGGTTAGAATGATGTCTATAACGGACTTTGATACAATACAAACAGCTTCTTTTGTAGAGTGATGAAAGGCTTTAAGTGAGATTTGTAGCAGTTTCCCCAAACTTCCACAGAATAATTTAAACATGACATAATGAAAGAACGATGCAGTAACAATAGAGCATTTGTGTTCAGCTCCAACACATTCACCAACCTTTGTCCTCAGGAAACTAATCTATTATAACTCCCAGGAAGGTATTTTGACACACTTTTTCTATTGGGGTATTATCAATAAGGATCCTGACTGATACATTTACCATTACTAAAAAGCATAATTATTTTTTTATTTAGCGACAACTATTGTTGAACCAAGTGTTCAATGTGTTCATCTCCACAGTTACTGTGGCCAAAAGTCGCTCCAAGTCATCACCGGAAAACATTATATTTGTATCGTCAGTAAATAATATACATTTTGATACTTTGACTATGTCATTATTTATGAATAATGTGGGTCCCAGTATCGATCCTTGTGGTACTCCACATGTTATGTTCACTCTGATGTGTGTCGATCTGAACCGTCTGCTGTCTCTCACATAAATGCTCTTTAACCACTATTTTGCTGGTCCCCTTATGCCATAGTTGTCCAATTTGGTAAGTTAGGTCCAAATTATGGTCAAAGGGATCAAATGCTTTCTGGACATCAATAAAAAATCCTAATACATATTTGTTTTTTCAATGCCTTTGGTAATTTCCTCAATTAAATCAATTAGAGCCAGTGATGTTGATCGATTTCGCCTGAACCCGTACTTTGGCATCTTCATCAAAGATACCAAAGTAACACCCTTGTTAAAAAAGATCTGTTCTTAACGTGTCGTCAGGACCTCTGAGAACAACATACTCAAGAGGGCAGACTTTCACTGAAATGTTTAAGTACACTGAACCCCAAAAAGTGTCATTGGGATTTGATGAACACATGATACAAACATTTGCTTACTATATACCAGCGGCAAAAACATTGAAGAGCCTTTGACAGTCAGATTTATGGACAAACTCCACCGTGTCACCAGAGCCAGAGAGAGGAAAACACCCATTTTTTTACAGATACTGTATATGTGATGGACAAAATGTCAAACGCAACCAGTTCTTTACCAACAACCCGAAATGCCTCATATTAGTCTTATACCAAGATGCGTTCAAAATAGTAAATCCCTGGGGGTCTGCAAAAAAAAGGCAAAAGATTCTTGCAGTTTATGTGTCTGTAGCAAACTTACCTATCTATGTACGTTCAAACACTGATCACATGTTTAAGTCTTGAGAATGATTTTAAGTTATTTGGAAAATAAAGTGTTGATGGGAGATCTGAAATCTTTAGAGACAGGAGTACCAGTTGATGGGACTCATTGAAAGGAGCTCTGTACTGCATTGCTGGTGATATCTTTTGCAGGTACTGTGAAGTTAAAAGAGTTTGTGGCAGATCCGAA